CTGCTGAGCGGTTGGTGGAGCTGATGGGGTGTATTCTGCCCTGGTATGTTTTCTTTGGCCCGGCTTGAACCCATGGCTTCGATCTGAATAACAAGTTCAGTACAAGCCCTTAAAAAGTTCCATGTGCAAGGGACCGCGTCCTGGGGTGGAGGGTGGCAGAGAGAGATACGTCCTCAGAGCCCTTGATACGTGCTAGCTGGCCCCAAACTTTTACATGCAGACTGGTGCAAGGACTCCCCGCAGTGACACAGCCTTGGGGTGTCTTTCAGGAGTGTGAAGTGCCTGTGTCCTCCTTACCTTTGCCAAATCCTCCCCATTTGCTCTAGATCCCCGCCCTTGCCTGCTGGAAGCGGTCCCTTCCTTTCAGTCCTGGGCTCCCTCCGTGGAGCAGGGCATGCATAGCTCTTGCAAGCTGCTAGCATCCTGTTTCAAGAAGGCTGCTTCTGCTTCAAAAGAGTTCAGCTGAGTTGAAGAGTTCAGACTGGCGTGCTGGAAAAACCTCTAGTAGATGGAGAGATAGACGTTACCTCAAAGAGCTGGACTGAATGATCTCCGCAGCCCTGCCGTTCTGGGGTGGCACAGGGATGCACCAAGCGTGGCCTCTCTGCTGCTCAAGGACGGGCAGAAGAGATGGATGATGCGTTCCCAGTTGAGCAAGGCCGCTCAACTAGTGGCAAAGCACGAGGAGCTGAGCACCCAGAGACACTCCAAAGAGCTCAGCCAGGAGGAATTCACCTGCCCAAACACACCCATGGATGATCCAGTGATCACGTCTCCGTATGGACAGGAAGGGTGGGGGCGGAGGATGCCCCCTCTCCCTGTCCCCAAATGGAAGGTCGCTCATGTATTTTAGCAGCTATCATTGTTGCCCCATCACTCACCCCAGCGTGAGCAATGGAGCCACATGTGGACATTGCTGCAGCAGCTTTAGTAACTTAGCTGTCCTGTTTGAGCAGGTGCGGGGAGGGGGCTAGGAGACAGGTCAAGCAGGTCTGCTGGTGCGTCAGGCCCAGGGAAATCAATGATGAGCTCCAGGTCCTTCAGGCAGCTGGCCAGCGCTGTCTCAGGTACGGTGATTTCCTCCTCCACGCCAGCTCCCTGAGCCAAGTGGTCTCCGAGCAGACCATTGTGGGGGCTGAGCCAGCTCACATGGCTTCCCCGAGCTTTTCAACCCCCAAAAGATCTGGATCTGGTGTGGTGGGCAGGACCCTGTAGCGGAGCAGGGCCTGGAAGACAGACACCAAAATGCCTCCCCTGCACCAATTAAAATCACTCTGTGATGATTTACGTTCAAAGTTACAAGTAATAATCGCTGTGCACCACACACACACGCACACACACACGCACACACACACACACAAAAGTTACTCTGGTTAACACGCTCAGATTTGGAAAAAAATAATCTCTGAGCTGATCTGCAAACGGACAGCAAGGGTCCAGGGCCTTTGTGACGGAAAATAAAGGCTGGGAAGGCCTCAAAAACCCTCTGCATTTGCTTTACTGAAATATCAGGAAGTTGAAGACCTTTCTTTTTGCTGAAGGGGTCCATGAATTCATCGGGGGGCCATACATGACACATCAACATCAGCCTAACTCTGATCGAGAAGGTGCATCTCATCTGCCTTACATCAGCTTGGCGCACAGTCAGAAATGTCACCGGTCTCTGGAGGGCAGGTGAGACCAGCTCTTCTGGCATAGCTGCTGCAGCAGGTACTATTTTAGCCCCTTGCCACTAAGTGGGGGGAAGACGGTAATAGCCTGTTTGTTTGCTTCTTCCTGCTGAGAAGCAGACACACAGCACTTACACCAATGGAGTTTGACCCCTGTTGTTTCCTAGAGTAACTCAACCCTCGATTCTAGTTCCCAGCACACCAGGCACATGGATCAAGACTATTTTCTGCCTTTAGCTGAACAATTGACATGACGACTCCCTGCAAAAAAGCAGCTTTTCTACCAAGTGCTGGAGTCAAGCCGTTATGAAAATGATGCCAAAGAAAGCGTGAAGCCATAAGAATGACAATTCTTGTCAATTTTAATTAATAGTAAAACTCCTGTCAGAGCCGGTCAATACAAGACTAGTCAACTGGAGTGGACTGATTGCCAATAATCCACGCTTGTCCGTACATCTGCATGGCAGGATACTCCGCAGACATTTGCTTCCAGGATTATCTCCTTTCCTGGCTAAACCGCAAGCCTTTGTGTCCGGGAACAAATGTTTGTGGAGTGTGCAGCCTGGCACGTTCAAGCATGTTCTCTACCTTGAACGAATGTCAGTCCTAATTAACACGAGTTAAACCACCTTGGATTGACAAACCCTCATCCGCGTATCATGGTCTCTGGGGCTTCTGATATTATCAACTGACTTTCCGCTTGTCCAAAAAAGGCCACCTCCGAGAAACAAGCTCTACCTACCCGCTTCCCATTCACAAACTTGTCCAAGCCCATAAGGCAATGCAGATGGTTTAGAGATGTGTCAGAGTATTTAGGCCTCCGCATGCAAGACAGAGAGCAGAAGAGCATCACCAGACCATGTCAAAAGGTGGAAGGAAGTGAAGAAAGGACCAATTCACTTAATCTTTTCCTTTCTTTTAGCACCTCCACCTGCTGAGCCTTTTCGTGCCTCCATCCTGCCTTGTGTGGAGTGTTAAAACAGCTCTGGTATTATTATTTTTTTAAAGATGTTGCAGGAAACACTTCTGGACTCGTTCGTGGCAAATGGATGACAGGAGAAGGCCCCTTACCTCTATGTGATTGCCATACAAGTCCCTGTGCTTCGGGCCCCTTCCAAAGGATTGCACACATATTAATGCATGTGCCTCGCACTGCCTCTGTGCTAGACAAGTACTTTGGCCATTTTCCTTCTGCAAAAACAGAGGCATGGAGAGGTCAGGCCTCTCTGCAATTGTGCCACAGAGCCGAGGAACAAATTCAGCTTCTCAGGCTTCCAAATTATCCAGTAGGCTTGGCGCCCTCTCTATGTGCTGGTCAAACACAAAAGGCTTTCCGCAAAGTCATTTTTGCTGTTGTACGCAGCGGTTGCATTTGTGCATAATAAAAACATCACAGCTAGTGCTGGGGCAGCTTCTCATCTCTTCCGTGTGCCTTACCCATGCTCTGTATGGACCATGTCCCTGTGTGAAAGGGTCTGCATGGCCATATGATCCACTGGGAACAATGGAG